CTCATTGTGGGTGTGTGGGGTGGGGGGGGGGGTTAGTTGTCTTTTTAATTGTGTCTTTATTAGGTTATATTTATTTAGACTAATTTAACTGCAGATTTTATGGGCTTGTGCGTTGTTAATTATGGTAGAAATCAAATTTTATTATGTGTGCCGTCTCTTCCCATTCAAACTGTCGCTTCTTCTACTTTTCGTTTTCTTCTCCCCGACCGCTCATCTTCTTCGTTTCTTCCTTCTTTTCCTAGCGTTTCACGGCGGTCCGTTCTTGCACAAAGGTCTAGCGTTTGGCATGGCGGGCTCTTCGAACCGGAGTTCCAAGCGGCTGAGGGCGGCGTCTTCCGGCGGCGTTCCAGGTATTGATTCTGTGTTGTGGTGTTGCTTTTGGTCTGGGTGGGTTGTTTTTCTTCGAGTGTTGTTGGTCGGCCGTTTTTTTTATTTATTTATTTTCCCGACCGGATATGTGATTCAGGGGGCTTGTTTTGTTTTGCATGGCACCGTCTGGGTCGGTGGTCTGTTGGGGGGGGGGGGGGGGGGGAGGGTGGGGCGGCGCCCTTGTGGTCTCTGGGGGTTGTGTTTCTAGGCTTTCCGGTTGGGATGGTTCGGGGTTGGTTTGTTTGTTTTTTTTTTTTTTTTTTTTTTTTTTTTTTTTTTTGTTTTAACCGCCGTGGCGGGGTATGCGAGCGGTGTTGATTGGGCGTTGTGGTGTTTTGGACGGGGTTGGCGTTGTTGTTGGTTTATTTTTTTTATTTATTTATTTATTTATTTATTTTTTATTTTTTGTTCCCGGTTAGCAGTGGGTATGTGCGTTATATCATGTCTGCGTGTGCAGTCGTCCACTGGTTGGTTTCAACTATGGGTTGTTTAGAAAGTTATTTTTGTTTGGTTTCATATTGTTCGCATTTTTGGGGTGTAGTATGTACATATGTTTTTTTTTTTTGGATTCCTCTTGTTTTCTTTGGAGCATATGATAGGTGGTAGGGGTTGTGGGCTTGCCGTGAAAGGCTGGGTGTGGGTGTATGCGTACGAAGAGTCTGTGCATTTGTCTTATTTGGTTGTTTATACGCTTTTTAGGGGGAGGGGGGTGGGTGTATGCGTTGTAGGATTTTGGGCGTGTGCAATACGTTCTAAGTGCTATTGTTTGTGTTCACTGCTTTTTAATTTTTGAACTTCTGGCAGTGTAAATTAGCCATGTAGATATGTTTGTGTTTTTTTGTTATAGAAAAAATTATGATATGATGTGATGTTTTCAAATAAATCATGTAGTGCCGCATGGGGAACCCTCATCAAATTTAGTTTCCTATTTAATATCTAATTATAATTGTCACAAACCAAAAAAGTTTTTTCTAAATTTGTCGAATTTTAAGAGTTTTATCATTATTGTTATATAATGTTGGTTGTAATTTTTGTCACAACACACTAATTTTTTTTTTCTTTTAATTACATTGTTTTGGGTTAACTATGTTGGTTATAAAACAGTTAGCATATGCGTTTGAATGTGTCGACCAACATTTCTTTTTAGAATTACAGTTATTACTATTATTAGTTTAATTTTATTATTTTTACTGTATGTGTAGTTTGATTGCATGGGGTGTGCGTTTGGCATTTGTGTTTTTTGAATATGTGTTTTTTTTATTAATTTGACAAATTTTAAGAGTTTACTGTGTGTGCATTTTGAATTTGATAGTGTCTGTCAACTCAACTAAGCCTTACAGTCAAGAGTTATTATAGCTACAAACCAACGAATGTAACAGTAGTCATGCAACTTCACCTACCTGTACTTCATAGCCATTTCTGTGAGGTTAAATATGTTATGTTTTATTGGCATCTATGAGTAGTAATTATTTAGATTTATATGTGGGAAATTTTTTTTTTTTTTAAAAAAAAAAAAAAAAAAAAAGGGGAAATAAGGAGTTAACAATTAACATCATGATTTTCCTATTAAATTTAGTGTACCCTTAACTTGGAAAACCACATGTCTATTAAACTATGGAAGGTAACATGCACTCCAGAACAAATTATTAAATGAATGTGTGCATTTTGAATATGGTCTGTGCGCATAACATTTTCAATCTATGCAGTATGGTGTTTAGGTCTGTGCACATAACATTTATTCAGTTTTTCTTTAAAATTAGCCATGTAGATATGCAGTCTATGCAGTACGGAGTTTGCTGTGTGTGCATTTTAAATTAGCCATGTAGATATGTTTGTGTTTTTTTGTTATAGAAAAAACGATGATATGCTGTGATGTTCTCAACTAAATTATGCAGTGCCGCATGGGGAACCCTCATCAATTTAGTTTCCTATTTAATTGCTAATTATAATAGTCACAAACCAAAAAAGTTTTTTTTTTTTTTTTTTTTTTTTTTTTTTTTTTTTAATTTGTCAAATTTTAAGGCTATGTATAGTTTTTTTATACCATCAAATTTAGTTTCCTATGTATAGTTTTTTTATACCAAAATTGTTCTTTTTATCCGAACTTCGACGCACATCAAATCCAGTTGTTGCAGCATACTTCGTATAGAATTGGATTCCATCTTCCAGTGTATTAAACATTTGGCCTTCATATGGTTTCAGGCTACGGTCGCATTCCGTATACCAATATTTCGTACCTCCAGGGCTTATATCCATTCTGCAATCCTTTTCTGATTCGTTTGCATCGGGGGCCTCTACACTGCACCTACCTGTAACATATGTTTCGTTAGCGTTTACATTGTAAACCACATGTCATCTTTTTATCATCAAAACAAATAATCTGCGTATGGGTTATTAATTTGTGTTTAAAAATATAAATTCTCCCGGCTAACAGTTAGTCATGTCACTATGTTAGGCGTCAGCGGTTGCACTCCATGCATGTACTTTCTTAAACTTTAAGCTCCCTAAATAATCTGTCAAAAATTCTAGGACACTAGTTTATTACTGCTTAGTCGTTAGTTGCACATGCTCAGTAACTACGTTGCACTTTCCCAACGCGACACTTGCACAAGTATAAACCCTAACATGCACAGGCCGTGAATATAACGTCCATTTCACGTGTTACTTACAAGTCCTGGCTTAGTAAATCCATCACAAAGGCTGATGCATTTTTAAAAAAAAAAAAAAAAAAACAAAACAAAACAAAACCAACATGTATACACCACTAGTGATTAACAGAAATTGATATACAGGGAAATTAAACTAACATTGCACAAAGAAAACAACTCTCCCCAAACCCAACACCGACCGTATGCTCTAATTCGTAGATGTAATGTAGAGGATAACCCAAAATAACATATGTACACACTCCACCCAAATAATGCTAACAAAACAAAACCAATCAAAACTACCTTTTTAAACAACACATTATTGAAAATAGACATTGGACATTTGCACACTCCAACATAATATATCGCACATACCACCAACACATTACTATCCGGGGAAAAAACAAAAAACAAAAAAAAAAACCGTCACCGTCCGATTCGCACAACACCCCATCAACACATCTACACCGCAATCAAAACCTCCCCACCAGTTAAAAACATAGACACAAAATCAAAAAAACAAACAATAAATAAACGAAAAACAAAAAACCCACTTCGTAAATATATTCGCATTAAACGCCATCCTCATGCACTCATTAGACACTCACGCTTCGTACTGCACTAACTTGCACAATACGGTTTCACGACGCACAGACTTATCATAATATATGCACACCAATCGTAAAGCCAATAACAGTTCATATACGGATGCACATACCTATGTCCGTTTGCGCCATCACTGTTGTCGTTGATGTCAAACACACGGTGCACTTTGAGTCTGATTGGCGAATGATTGCGTTCAGGAATCACCAGAATATCAATAGTAATATATTACCGTTAATAAATAATCCAATCCCATAATCTGATGCTTAGAAGGGAATATATTCCAATTTATTTGTAACCATAAATAGCTCTTATATTACAATTACTTATTCACCCTTATGCATAGACTACTACCTTAAATGTATAGAATATCTCTTTCAATCTCACCCTTTAATATGCAATGATCTAATGGATATGATGAGATCTCATAATCTCATCCATCTATGTGACCTCATGGGATCCGGAGCCTATATATATATATATATATATATATATATATATATATATATATATATATATATATATATATATAGAGAGAGAGAGAGAGAGAGAGAGAGAGAGAGGGGGGGGGGGGGGGTGGTTTTCTGGTGCAAACCATCATTAATGTGTGAACTTATGCATTGGTTTAGTGCATTGATTTGGTGCATCTTACAGCACCAATTAAACATGCTTCCCCTCTACGATGCACCAGCATACAGGTTGCCCTAGGGGCATTTTCCAAAATACAAACATCTCTTAAAAATTAAAATACAAATGTGTGGATTGCTTATGATTCCTGCAACTTTCTAGCCAACTCCAACGACCTTCCGACAACTCCATCCAGCCTCTGACGAATTTTTGGTGAGATTTCGAGACAAACACCAGCGACCGACGATCGTTTGGAGAAGGCAACCAGTTGGTCAGGCTTCTCCCGTGACTAGAAAAGGCGACCAACGCGATCAGCGACTGTTCAACTATCGCCGGTGTTTGTTCCTAGAATCTCGTAAGAAATTGGTCGGAGAGTTGCTAGAATCATAGTCACCTACAATTAAATCTCACCAACCGATTATTGGGCTTCAGTACTCTAAAATAACATATTTATGAGTTTAATTACGTATTTTGTAAGTTTAATAACCTATTTGACTTTTCAAGTACAACTTAGGAGCTTAGTTAACCATTTTTCTTAAAAATTATATGAAACTATAAAATATGTTCATACTACATTAAAACATTATTTAAAAAAAAAATTCTTTATTTTAAATTATTTTTAAAAATACTCTGGTGGAGTGGTGGTATATACGGAGTAACATTTATACATCAGCAATGCATCATACAGGAGACCGCTTCAACCGGTTCCTAACAGCAAAGTTAAATAAAAACATATTCGGAATATTAAAATAGTCAAAGAAAAATGATAAAATGACAGACATTGGTCACATTGCATTCACTACAGAGTTTAAGTCTATGGAAGAGTGCAATCAGATGTTCAAAGTCAATTCACACTAACCCACGCCACAACAACAATACCCAGCAGCTTCGATTCTACATTCCTGAATTTCTTCTGATTTTCTAAGATCTATCTTTTATCTTTTATTTATTAAACCCCCCCCCCCCCCCCCCCCCCCAAATTTTTTTTGTTTCCACGAATTTTCTTCCACATTGTAGTAAATTATCGGAAATAGGTGCAATAATATTGTAGAAATCCTCCGTTTCTTGAAGAAGAAATGGAGGCAAGTGCTGGGATGGTTGCTGGGTCGCACAAGCGGAATGAGCTGGTTCGGATCCGCCATGATTCTGATAGTGCGGTAAGGCTTTTGTGGAAATACCCATTTGGACTACTTGCATTCTTGAAATTATTTTACATTTAAAAAAAAAAAAAATTTTTGGTGCTTAGATCTGAATGTCTAGAGTAGTACTGAGTCTTGAGCTAAAGTTAGGATTTTTTTTTTTTTTCCTTAAAGTTTGAAGGAAAAAAAAAAGGTGTTATTATGGTTCTTACAGTTTAAGGAAGGATTATGGTTCTTGAGAGTGTGCTTGAGGTAATGTTTACTGGATTTAAGGGTTTTTTTTTTTTTTTTTTTTTTTTTTTTTTAAATTTGGGTTGGGGGTGGGTTAAACACTGACCCCTCATAGTGTTTTCCTGAACTGCACATTTTGGTAATGCTTGAAAGGTTTGGCAGTCTGATCTTTATTTTTTAAGTTTGAGCTGAATTAATTAGAGCTGATATTACAGTTGTTGATTGAGAAGATTGAATCATGCTTTTGAAAATCCACTCATTATCTGCCATTTTGTGATATAATGCAAAATCCTTCTCTTATTTAACATCTTTGATATAGTAAATTTTCTGTTCCCATGTACATATGGTTTCTTTTCATAGTGTATGCTGATTTGATATTGTAGTAGCTTAGTGGTTGTATTGATGTCTTTTTTGAAATGGCTGATCGGTATACTATCATGGCTTGTGTCAAATACAGCCGAAGCCCCTGAAGAATCTGGATAGTCAGATATGTCAGATTTGCGGTGATACTGTTGGGGTGACTGCTAATGGTGATATATTTGTTGCTTGTAATGAGTGTGCCTTTCCTGTTTGTCGGACTTGTTATGAGTATGAACGCAAAGATGGGAACCAAGCATGCCCCCAGTGCAAGACCCGATACAAGAGGCTTAAAGGTTAGTCTACTTGAATAAAATGTTTTACCCGAATATATATAAAATGTTGATACAAGACAAGCCTTCCCGTGAGAACGTGCGGATGCACTGTCAAGCCAGTGTATATAATAATTATATATCCACACACATGCACATATTTCATTATGACATTATCATCGTAATCATCTGAACATTGTTTTGCACGGTTAGGGAGCCCACGAGTTGACGGTGATGATGAGGAGGAGGATGTTGACGACCTTGTCAATGAGTTCAATTATGGCGAAGGAAATGTCAAGGCTAGACGGAAGTGGCAGGGAGAAGATGTTGATCTCTCTTCGTCCTCTAGACATGAATCTCACCAACCAATTCCTCTTCTGACAAATGGGCAGCCAGTAAGTGAGGATGAACCCTGTGTTATTAGCTTTTCATTCATGTTTAACATGGGCTAGTTGGGTCCTTAATTATATCTGTGAAGTAGAATAAAGAAATAAATTAAATGCATTCAGATGTAAATTCTCTAAAAACTTTACTTTTTTGAGAACATATCTTTCAAAAGTCATTTTAGTGACCTGATCTGTGAACCTTTGTCATCAATATGGAAACAAAGAAAATACAAACTGTTTCTTTATATGCTTGTTGAGTCATGTCATATTCATTATTTTTGTAGCTAGGTCCTTTATAAGTGTTCTTTAATTTGATTTGATTTTAACTGGATAGTGGGCATGAAAGACAGAATTGACTCTTCTTCTGTATGGGTTATCTTTGTTTGTGTTACAAAATCTGTTCAAATATACTTGGTACTTTCTTGTTTTAATAGAACTCCTTTGTCATCTTTGTTTTACTCTTTCTGCTTATAATATGACAATATGATTGTTTTTAGATCTCTGGTGAAATCCCTCTAAGTGCAACACCAGATACTCAATCTATAAGAAGTATGTCAGGACCTCTGGGCCCCGGAGACAAGCATGGCCACTCCCTACCATACCTTGACCCGAGGCAACCAGGTATACAGTTTACTTTAATGCCTCTACTGTAAATCTGTGATTCTTTCTATTCCTTTTCCTTGCAAAATTCTGAAGAAGATATACTCTGCAGTTCCTGTGAGAATTGTGGACCCTTCAAAGGACTTGAATTCTTACGGGCTTGGTAGTGTTGACTGGAAAGAGAGAGTAGAAGGTTGGAAACTTAAACAGGAGAAAAGTATGACTCAAATAACCAACAGATACTCGGAAGGGAAAGGAGACATTGAGGGGACAGGATCAAATGGAGAAGAGCTACAAATGTGAGTTGTTTCTAAATTGTCCTTCAATATAAATTGGTTTCTAAAATGTCCTTCAATATAAATTCCATGAAAACCAAACACATAAAGAATGTAAGTTGACTGTAAAGCTTTTGGAAGCAACAAGGACATCTTTTCAATGTTATTATGATGCTTAAATAATCAAGTAAAAATGTAGTTTGATGTCGAATTTCACATTTGCTTCAACTTGTTACAGGGCTGATGATGCTCGCCAACCTTTAAGTCGTGTGATTCCTATCTCTTCTTCTCACCTTACCCCTTATCGGGTTGTAATTATACTTCGGTTGATCATCTTGGGCTTTTTCATGCAATACCGGCTGACTCACCCTGTGAATGATGCCTATCCTTTGTGGTTGGTATCGGTTATCTGTGAAGTTTGGTTTGCCTTATCTTGGCTTTTGGATCAGTTCCCAAAATGGTCACCCATCAACCGTGAGACCTATCTGGACAGGCTTGCATTAAGGTAGTCTAAAAAACATCTTGCAAGAAACTTTTTCTATTCAGCGTATCTTCCACTCCCATTTGCTTGTTGGTGATAGATTTGGTGTCTTAATCATCTTTTTATCACAACCAGCTTGGTTGGCGTGAGTGGCCGTGCACTCTCATCCCCTAAGAGAGCTCGGGAGTTCAAGCCCCCTCTCATATGGAAAAACCAATCTGGCCAGCACTTTGCCCCTTAATTGGGCCGGGCCGGTGTGAATGGGGATTAGTCTGAGTATGGTACGGGCAAAGGTGCCTCCTACAGTTAGGGTTTGCTCAGGACACCTCATGGCCTGACCAAAAAAAATAATCGTTTTATCACTGTGTCAGATATGATAGGGAGGGGGAGCCTTCTCAGTTAGCACCAGTGGATGTTTTTGTCAGTACTGTGGATCCTTTGAAAGAGCCTCCTCTTGTCACAGCAAACACAGTGCTGTCGATCCTTGCGGTGGATTACCCTGTAGACAAGGTCTCGTGCTATGTTTCTGATGATGGTTCAGCAATGTTGACATTTGAAGCCCTCTCGGAAACTGCAGAGTTTGCAAGGAAATGGGTGCCATTCTGCAAGAAGTTTAATATCGAACCTCGGGCTCCCGAATTCTATTTCTCTCAGAAGATTGATTATTTGAAGGACAAGATTCTGCCTTCATTTGTGAAAGAGCGTAGGGCAATGAAGGTAAAATAACAAGCCTAGTATTAATTTCTCCCTGCATTTTTGTCCAAATTACTAGCACAATAGAGATTTATCTATGAGACAGTTCAGCACAAATTTCTTTCAGTTATTATGTTCTGAAAGGTTTATTTTTTAGAGGGAATATGATGAATTCAAGATACGTATCAATGCACTTGTTGCCAAAGCACAAAAAATGCCTGAAGAGGGTTGGACAATGCAAGATGGTACCCCTTGGCCTGGAAACAACTCTAGGGATCATCCCGGAATGATCCAGGTATTTATTAGTATTTCTTTAGTTTTATTTTTTATTTTTATTATTTTATTTTATTTTTTTAATCCCCTCTCTTTTGTGTGTGTGTGTGCTTTTTTAATTAACAGGTCTTCTTGGGTCATAGTGGTGGGCTCGATACAGATGGAAATGAACTTCCTCGCCTGGTTTATGTTTCTCGTGAAAAGAGGCCAGGATTCCAACACCACAAAAAGGCCGGAGCTATGAATGCTTTGGTAGGCAATGGATACTTCATATTGATATTGGATCTAGTATTTATTGTTGCAAAAATCATCCTAGGTGCCCCTAGATCGAGGGGATTTCGGGCCTAGGCGCCTTTTAGTCAGCCGGCCAACTAGGTGCCCAACTCGGCCGAGTTAGCCGAGTTTTTTTCCATTCGACAAAGAAAAGCAGATTTTTTGTTTTTTGTTTTTTGTTTTTTGTTTTTAAATGTGCCTAAGCTCTACTTTTTATGCTTTAGTAGTTATGCCTGAAGTAAATGGAATGCTGGTAAATATGCAAAATGAGGTTTTCTGATTTTCTGCAGATTCGAGTTTCTGCTGTCCTCACGAATGGAGCGTATCTTTTGAATGTCGATTGTGATCACTACTTTAACAACAGCAAAGCACTTAAAGAAGCCATGTGTTTCATGATGGATCCTGCTTATGGAAAGAAGACGTGCTATGTTCAATTCCCCCAGAGGTTTGATGGCATTGACTTGCACGATCGATATGCCAACCGCAACATTGTGTTCTTCGATGTAGGTCTCTCTTAAGATTTGTAGTGTATCCTTTTAGGTAATTGGTAATTTTTCTGTTGGGCTATCGAGAGTGCTCATTGCTTATGTACCCGTTTCCCAGATCAACTTGAAGGGGCTGGATGGCCTTCAGGGTCCCGTCTATGTGGGAACCGGGTGTTGTTTTAACAGGCAAGCCTTATATGGTTACGATCCGGTCTTAACTGAAGCTGATTTGGAGCCGAACATTATTGTGAAGAGCTGTTGTGGCTCGAGAAAGAAGGGAGGGCGTGGTGACAAGAAATATATCGATAAAAAGAGAGCAGTTCAAAGAACTGAATCTACCATTCCTATTTTTAATTTGGAGGACAATGAAGACGGCGTGGAAGGTATCCCTTCATAATAATGCAGTGTTGTAAAAATCGGCCTAGGCGGCGACTAGGTGCTAGGCACCCCTATGCCGAGGCAATTTCAGCCCTAGGCGGCTTTTAGTCGGCTAACCGACTAACCGGCCGACTAGGCACCCTAGGCGCCGACTCGGCTGAGGTGAGTGCCTAACTCGGCCGAGTTGGCGCTCAACTCAGCTGAGTGGTTTTTTTTTGCCTACTCGGCTACTCATCTTCTATATTTCTCCAGTCATGTACTCAACTAACCATCTAATATATGTAGTTGACTAGTTTGGGGGATTATAATAGTCTAACAAACTCCTAGCCATGGGTGGGAAAAGTGGAGACGATATACTCAGATTACTAGGCCGCCTAGGTGCTAGGTGCCCCTGGATGCCCGACTAGCACCTAGCGCCTTCTGCAACTTTGATAATAGATGATACTGCCAATAAGAATGAAAGGTTGTGTTACTTTGCTTTTCTTTGACATCATTCCTTTTGGATATGCAGGATATGATGAAGACAAGACTCTTCTCATGTCTCAGAAGAGCTTAGAGAAGCGGTTTGGTCAGTCTCCCGTTTTTATCGCTGCTACCTTTATGGAACAGGGAGGCATTCCGCCATCAACTAATCCCGCAACACTTTTGAAAGAAGCAATCCATGTCATTAGCTGTGGGTACGAGGACAAGACCGAATGGGGAAAAGAGGTATGGCACGATGACATGATGCTTGAATATGCATGTATTTCTGATCGTGTACGTATTGAGTCACAATATGAAATGCGAATTGATTGGGATATGTTTTCTGTAATCAGATTGGATGGATCTATGGGTCTGTCACCGAGGATATCTTGACCGGATTTAAGATGCACGCAAGAGGATGGATTTCTATCTATTGCGTGCCTCCTCGCCCGGCATTTAAAGGGTCTGCTCCTATAAATCTTTCGGATCGTTTGAACCAAGTGCTCCGGTGGGCCTTGGGATCCATTGAAATTCTCCTTAGCCGGCATTGCCCGATATGGTATGGCTACAATGGAAGACTGAAACTCTTGGAAAGAATAGCGTATATTAACACCATCGTTTATCCCATCACCTCCATTCCATTGCTTGCTTACTGCATTCTCCCTGCTATCTGTCTTCTCACCGGGAAATTTATTGTTCCCGAGGTATGTCATGTGAAGAATTTTCGTTTCCATTGCTTCTTGTTTTTGGGTACTAGTTGAAGGCAATGTTGCAAAAATCGGCCTAGGCGCCCCTAGGCTGTGGCGATTTCACCCCTAGGTTGTCTAGGCGGTCGGCCGCCTAGGCACCTAACTCGCCCGAGTTGGAGGCGAACTCGGCCAAATTTGGCTATTTGGACGAGTTAACTCGACCGACATGGCCTTGCTAATATATATATATATATATATATATATATATATACACCCACACACATGCACTGGTTTTTTTTAGTTAGCCGCCTAGGCCGTCTAGGCGCTAGGCGCTACTCTACTGCCCGACTAGTGCCTACTGCAACTATGGTTGAAGGCATCAATAAACTTCTCTAGAATCCCGAATAACATCTAATCAATTTTCTGCAGATAAGCAACTATGCTAGCGCTTGGTTCATTCTCCTCTTCATATCCATTTTCGCCACCGGTATATTGGAGCTTAGGTGGAGCGGTGTCAGCATCGAGGATTGGTGGAGAAACGAACAGTTCTGGGTCATCGGTGGCACATCCGCTCATCTTTTTGCCGTGTTCCAAGGCCTTCTAAAAGTACTTGCCGGGATTGATACCAATTTCACCGTCACTTCAAAGGCTTCCGATGAAGATGGAGATTTCGCTGAGCTTTACGTGTTCAAGTGGACATCCCTTCTCATTCCCCCGACCACAGTCCTTATAGTCAACCTCGTAGGCATAGTGGCAGGCGTCTCGTTCGCCATAAACAGCGGGTATCAGTCGTGGGGCCCTCTATTCGGGAGACTGTTCTTCGCCATTTGGGTCATCGTGCACTTGTATCCGTTCCTCAAAGGTCTGTTGGGCAGGCAGAACCGCACTCCCACCATCGTCATCGTCTGGTCCATACTTCTTGCATCCATCTTCTCTTTGCTATGGGTGCGAATAGACCCCTTCACTTCGGACAGCGCAAAAGCGGCCGCAGGGGGTCAATGTGGCATCAACTGCTAGCCGGTTTTGGATGCCATTTTGTCGAAGGAAAGCCCTAAACCGGCAGTGTAACCGTGTATATAGGCAAGAAACCGAGGTGCGAAAATTGCGCGGGGGATGGTCTTATAGTTAAGCTATTGTTGTATCATGTTTCTTTGCAAGAATGGTTTGGGATGGGTATTTTGTCATAGACTTCTGCTGTTACTTGGCAGTGACCAAAATTTGTTTAAATTTGTAGTGTGAAAAGTATTCTCTGACAGGATGTTCTTCACAAATGTATTCATGGCAGCAACTTCAGGACCTAAAAAGAAAAGTAATTTGTTGATGTTCTTGTATTTGTTTTCTTAAAAACCATAATTGTCAATGTAATTTTGTTGTAGACGATAGCTCGTTAACTTAAGAGTTTATTTGACACTTTTTCTTTCTAATTAATAAAAAATGTTATCTCGAGTGAAACACGTTCCGAGCTCAGTTATGAGAGAGCTTGTGACCCTAGTGAGAGCATTAAAGTGTGATGAGATGATAGAAGATAGTTTGTTAACTTAGTAGTTGAATGTCACTACACAATTGAATTTATTTTTCCTAACATAATAACGGTGTATTTGGTTCATGGAGTTAGACACAAGAAATGAGAATGTAAGTTATATATTTAGTTGACAACTTTTTAAAACATAGATATATGATTTGATCATCCCTATAATTAAAATACTCATCACCTAATTTGAATTAGGTATCATTCCATTAATTCAGCATTATAACTCCTCATTTTACCGCCTCCTCATCATTACATTAGATTATTGCTTTTAGATTTTTGTTTTAATTTTTTGTTCATATTGGTGTTTGAATGTCAATATATTATAATCAATTGTCTTGATTTTTTGTTTTTGTATTTTTAAAATTTTTATTTCAATTATAGCGTCATACATATTCAAACAATCATATTGATAATCATTCTAATTCCAGTCTACTACCAAACATGCAACTCATTCCAACTTCGATTCCCATGTTCAAACCAAACGCACTCTAGGATTAGATTGGTTAGTAGAAATGTCAATACACAATTGAATTTAGATAACATTTTCGTAACATAATAAGATTGGATTGGTTCAAAGAGCGAGTATTAGCTTTGGCAATCATTATATCTTGGATTATTATCCATTATCTGCAGGGGTAGCTCAATTGATCACAAGGATGAAGTTTGGGAACAATAAATATTAAATAATCAGGAATAGGCGGAGTTTCACCAGCGGCAGTGCAAAAGTCTAACTTATGTAGAATGAAGTTTGGGAACAATAAATAATCAGGGATAGAGTTTCATCAGCGGCAGTGCAAAAGTCTAACTTATGTATTCAGTTGAGTTACCATAATTTACATCCTTCCAAATGCTCTGTCGGGCCTTTGGGATTAGAGATTCAACCTTTTGGGAACAATGGATAATGATCCATCTTAAAAGATAGACCATTAAAATAAGGTTCATTATTAATTAATATACTAAATGTTCATTTAATAAATTGAATGCTCACTTTCTAAAGGTTCATTTTTATTTACTAAAATTTTATTTTCATATATACTACGGAGTACTAAAAAATGAACTTTCAAAATATTAGATATGAATCTTCAGTATACTAAAAATGAACATTTATCTGTCGTCCACATTTCATAGTATAATTTGCCTAGCTCTGGTGACTATTTGACTACAACAATCATTTCTGGACATTCACTTTGGTTTTTTTCTCCTGAAATTGGGGGATTCCATTCCATCATAACAAATTGGGATAAACAAAATTGATACAATTTCACTTGTAAAATACCAATTCTGTGATTTGCACAAACTTAAAACCATTCATCTCCCCTTATTGTCTCCAAAATTTCTTTGCAATCAGATGTAATTTCTTGACTTAGAAGAAACAGCAAATGCTACTTAACAACTTCCCGGGGTAACGTTATGTTGCTCAACACCGGGGGGTCAGGATAGTGAAGTGCTGTAACGTAAACAAATGCAAGACGCTAATGAACTTCAATCAATCTACCTTATGTGTGTCTCGTACCGTAAGAAGCTCTTCTACTCCTCGTTGTCTTTCTCTACCAATATCCTCTTGCACGCTTCATAACACATGAAAGAAATCCCGGCAGCCGGCACCAGCTTCATGCAGCTGGGCCCGAGCCCTTTGTACAATCCCGGGATACCTTCCTGTTCGAGGATGGTGGCGAGGGCATGAATCACGTTCTTGTATACTTGCCTCCCGCTAACCGCCCCTACCTGCATGTGCTTACGGGCCACTTCTAGAGGGAACGTGGCGCTGCTGGATATAGCTCCCGCCATGGACCCGATCAAAAGGGTCTCGATGTTGCCGATTCTCTCTTGTTTGAAGAATTTCGTGTAGGATTTTCGCAGTGTGTCATACGCGAAGTAGTTCGTCGCAGCATATGGAATCACTCCGATTAAACTCGGGGTGAGACCCCGGTAGAGCTCTCTCACGCCCCCCTCTTTCAATATTTTTACGAATGCATCGAGTAGACCTTCGTAAACTCCTCTCTACAGTTTCAAGAAAATCATTCAACCCTGTATTATTAACGCCAAAAGTCCGTGTCTGCAAAGAAACATCGCGAAATTACCTGGATTGTTAGTCGGGTCTTGACCAATTCAAGAGGATATGTCACCAATGTTGAACTTACACCAGCACACGCTCCCGCAACTAACGAAGCGGGGATCGGAAGTTTAGGCTGCTCACCGGGTTTGGACGACAAGTTCTTATTAACCGTGTCGTAAGCAAAAAGCTGCAAAAAAGCACACAAATAACTTTCAGCTAAGATACAATATAAACGGTAAATTGAAGGCGAATACATGTCCCTTTTCCATGGCAAAGCAAATGATAACAATTTTCCAATTTCGAAGAAAAGTGAATCTCTAGTGCATAAGAGATTTTGCATCCCAACTAACTAACATAAGAAATACATTTTTCCGAGAGAAGGATCAAAAGATATATTAATACAAATCAAGCCTCAAGCTATCAAAGATTCGAAGATGATAGAACAAGCAGCTTTAGCTAGAACATGAGCTACTACGTTTGCTGACCTTTTAACAAAAGAGAAAGAAATACTATAAATTGGATTTTGTTCAATTGGAGCTATCAAATTGTTTTAAAAAGTGCTGCTGCGTATTAAGGGAATCAAGGCACACTCTCACAATTACAACTAAACGTGGGAGTATTTAGTATTACTTATCTTGAGCTTTCGAGAACTCATCATATAAGAAAGATAATGTTGCCATATCCTTGCTACTTTCGTAAAGATTGTTTATTCCCGAGTACCATATGAAAGTTCAAATCCAGGATTAGAAACGATGCCACCCCTAGCCTAAACTGCCCGCCCCAAATAAAGACTATAAAAGCTTTAAGATACTAACCCAACCGCCTCTAGTATGAGCACGTTTAAAAGGGAAAACTAGATATACTGTTTGGCAAATGAATACGACAACAAAGATGATCCTTGACATAATAATAAGAAACTAATGCAGCTAACACAGCTCCACATTAAGCAACTTCTCAACCTATCGAGAACAAAGATGGTGCCAATGTTTTTACAATACCTATGACTTAATAATGCCCTAAAAGCTCATTGTGGAATTCACACAACTAACCAATTCGGTTTTAGAATTCATTGCCAACAACAACAAATAATGCCTCAATTAAGCAATGAACACGAAATAGAAGCACAACCTATGAACTTAATAAGGCCCTAAAAGCTCATTGTGGAATTCACACAACTAACCAATTCGGTTTTAGAATTCATTGCCAACAACAACAAATAACGCCTCGACTAAGCAATGAACACGAAATAGAAGCACAACCTATGAACTTAATAAGGCCCTAAAAGCTCATTGTGGAATCCACACAACTAATCAATTCGGTTCTAGAATCCATTGCCAACAACAACAAATAACGCCTCAATTAAGCAACGAACACGAGATAGAAGCACAACTTATGAACTTAACCAAAAAAAATTATACCTCAATGGCCTTGCTAGGGGCGACACGAATCACATTAACCAAATTACCCCTAAACAATCCAGTCCACCCTTCATGTGCCATTATAGAGTGGAACACCTCGGTTGTCGAATGCCCACTACTCCCAACCATCAAATGAGTCCTAATGGTCTCCAATGGAGCTACAGCAGTTCTTGAAACTGCCCCTGCAATTGCACCACTTATCAACCTCCTCAATGAAGGATTCGAAACCTTAACCTTAAGCTTGAGCCTAGGTTTCTTCTTCCTCGCAGCCACTTCCTCCTCGGAATTGCCAAGAATCTTAAACCCCTCAAGTGATGAGAAGTATTTGGCGTACAAATCGAAATTGGGGGGGAGCTTGAAGCCCGGCCCGTTCTCGTCCCGGGAATCCGACATACTCCCCCCCATTTGACCCACACAGGCAAAGAGCCCACCGGGGCAAAAGCTCGCATCTTGTAGACTCCATTGAAACCCCAACTGAGTATTCGAAGAGAACCCATCCTTCTTCCACTCCAACACCTGCATTCCTTTGCCTGCCATGATTTGAAACTTGTCGAAAGCAACAAAATTGAAACAACCCTTTGAATCAGAAAACCAAAAGAACAATCAATCAAAGCTATCGATTCAGGGGTTTAGACAATATGGGAAAGCTGAAGGAGCAAACGAATCGGCACTGGGCAAATGGGTAATTAAAAAATTCATTCTCGCGTTTGGGTTTTGGAAAATTTTGCCGAATAGATTCGAGTCTAGAGTCTAGAAAAGCAATAGAAAGATAAGAGTATGTGAGAAAAAGAATAATCTTGTTTGATGGAAGAGTGTTGAGAAGCTTTCAGCGGAAAATAGAAAATACAAATTACAAACAAGTGAGACTTCAGATTCTCTACCCTTTCGTCTTTCGAAACAGAAACACATGAAAAAGCTGTCCAATAATAAGTGATTTCCATTTAATACTATACTCCATCGGTCTCATTTTATGTGTCTAGTTTGATTAACGAGATTTAACTGAAATTATTTTTAATTTATTTTTTATAATATTAAATTTAAAATTAGTATACAAAATTTATATATTTAGAAATTACACAAAAAAATCAAATTAAAAAATAAGTAAAAAATACTAAAGAAAATAAACAGAAAAAAGAGTTGTTTTGACCAATAGATAGTAAGTAATACAGATAAAATGAGACGGAGGATATGCTGGTTGGGACTCCCAATGCTTTCGAGCCGATGGTTTTGAGCAGGTCGGAGAACGAGAAGGCGGGGGCCGAAGTGGCAGAGTGTGGGTGGCGGTGCGAACGAGAAGATCAAAAAGCGGAAGTGTTGGGAGATGCTACAGCAAGTTACTGGCTTCAAGTTCGGCGGGCAGCTGCCGGTCGCACCCATCTTGAAACCGGAGCCCACCACCGCAACGCCCAACTCATCCATTCATGTGGAATATAATGGTCCTGTTTGGTGAACGCAAATTATGTCCGGGAAACGTGTTCACCGTGAACGGCGAACACAAGTCCAAACGACGTCGTTTTTATGCAAAAAAAAAAAAAAAAAAAAAAAAAATCACGTATGTGGAGTTAACGGCGCGTGTTTGATCAAATTATGAATTTTCTGTTATGAGATTATGAATGTAATGTAAATTCATAATCTCATAACAGAAAATTCATAATCGCATAAAAGTAAAATATTTATTAAATTATGAATTTTCTGTTATGAGATTATGAATGTAATGTAGATTCATAATCTCATAACAGAAAATTCATAATTTCATAACAGAAAATTCATAATTTCATAACAGAAAATTCATAATCTCATAACAGAAAATTCATAATCTTATAACAGAAAATTCATAATCTCATGGTTCCAAAGTGAATGTGTAGGCATGGTTCCAAAGTGAATGTCTAGCATGGACTCATAATTTATGAATGTCCGTGATTTCGGACGGGAATGTGTAGGCATGGTTCCAAAGTTATTGTGCAGACATGAATTCATAATTTATGAATATCCGAAATCATTGCTCACCTTAAATTAAAGTGAAACCGCGAAATGTGAAAATGAAGAAGAAAAGTCACGCAATTAATTAAAAAAAAAAAAAAAGAAGATAATGGTGTACTAACACCGTTAGAACCATGGTGAACACGGTTCCATGGCATAACGATTGTTTGGTGAATGATGTTAGCTGATTGAATTAATTAGAGGGTATAACTAGTTGATAACATTAGCTGATTGTAGAAAGATGTTTGGTAAATTAGATGTTAGCTGATAGCTCTTTGGTATAATTTCTTTTCTCAAAAGCTAATTGAAAAAATTGTTTTGAGTAGCTTTTTAAATTTTAACATTTTGAAGTACAAAAGACTAATTAACCAAACACTTATATTGGTTTTTAAACCAAGTCAAACAACTAATAGTGATCAAATAAGCTAAAATTGACTTATACGCTAATTATTTTACCAAACAAGACCAATAATTCAAACCTTTTAGCTCACTTGTTCCTGAAGAGTTACTTGCAGGAAGAGTTCTTGAAATTGCTGGTTTGCCCAACTCCTCCGTTCATGTGGTATATTTTCTCGACATCCATATATGGTAGACCAAGTAAGATAGTAATAATAAAAAAAAATATAATAGCTGGTAAAATGCTTATTGTAACCCAAGTAGGATAATAATAATTATAAAATATAAAATAAAATAAACACATGTCATCTTAATCAGCGAAAACTTGTTGTTAACCTGTTAAAAACATCAATTACTTTTTTTTTGCCGGGTTCATTGATGATTTTGGAGCTTATTTTAGTTGAATATATAGCTTAATTGCTATTTTTAAAATAGTCCAATGACTTATTTGTACCTTTTCCCAATAAAATTAGTATTTTCTCAACATTTACAATTATAACGTTTTACTGTTTTACGTTTCATTGGCAAAATTTCCAAGGATTTAACAGGAACGGCGTACGTGGTTAGAGGGTTTAATTATTCTAATTTTAAATTATCAACTTTTGGAAGAGTGATAAAATAGTTAAAATAATAATAACGAGATTGAAATAATAGAGATTAGAGTCATGACATGCGTATGAATGATTGATCAATAAAGACATTAAAATATTAAAGTACTTATTATACATTTTGGCATTTTGTATATAGTATATTTATTAATTAATTATATATTTTCTAGTACATATTAATTATACTAGTATTTTCAATATGTGCCCAACATTTTTATAAATTTGATATTTATATTTTGAAAAATAACTAATATATATATATATATATATATATATATATATATATATATATATATATATATAACTCCAATATATAATGTGTATATTATTATTATTATTATTTGAAAACATGTTATTATTATTATTATTATTATTATTATTATTATTATTATTATTATTATTGAAGAAGATAAGAAATATTTGGTGCAGTGGATGATAATGGTAAGGTATGTTATCCAAAATATTACATATGGTACAATTTTTATAGCATAATGTATAAAAAATTTATAATGAAAAAATGGACATAAATGAAGGATATAACCTTCATTCAATTCATATAGTCACTATAATAGAAATAACTTAAGTTGTGATAAGTTGTTTAATAGTATTATGTCTACGTATGTCTATACTTGTCATTATATATATTACTTTGTATCTTTTCAATTGTAGCTATTATATTGGAGGTATTCCAACGTGAAATAAAAAAAATGTCCAGCCCGCTTATTTTTTAAAATATATTTTTATATTAATATATATATATATATATATATATATATATATATATATATATATATATATATATATATATATTTATTTATTTATTTATTTATTTTTTGAGGGGATTAAAATTTTTATATATTGATTTGTATAATATAAAAGTTCAACCTTTAATTTCTCACCAACTAAGCGCGACTTTTACTTTTGAAACAAAAGACGTATATACTACATATATAAATGTATATTATATTGATTCAACTCTTTATTTATATTTTATATAATAAATATACTTTAAATTAAACGAGAATCATACAAATATAAATATAACGTATGTAATTATTATGTTTGAAAATGACAATAATTATTCAATACAAAATGACCATTTAAAACGTAGGAATCATCCATTATTAAAATTGATTTGAAAGTTAATGGTCTCACGAAAATTTTAACTATAATGCTGTTTTAATTAAATATATTTATAAAAAATGTAATTACATGATCATGAATCATACAAATATAGACTCCGTAATTATTAAACATAACGTATGTAATTATTATGTTTGAAAATATTTTAATAAAGTAATAATTCATCCAAAAGTTCAAAGACTTTGCAATGTGATAGAAGATAAGATTTTTTTTTTTTTAATTTTAAAGAAGCACTAACATACGACAAATTATACTGTGGACCGCGTATCAAAACGACGTTGTTTTGTTTAATGAAAATAAACGACACCCGTTTCGCGCTGTTCTGTGCTGTTCGCAAAAAGTAACTTTGTTATTCAGTTTCATGTTGTATACACTGCAGTTCCATTTTAACAAAATTACAATTTCATTTCGATATAACTACAATTTCATTTGATATTATACACTCAAATATGTGAAAATGTTATTTAGTTCATTTTATATACACTAGTTTAATTAAAACACAACTACATTCTTATCATTTCAATATAACTATAGGTTCATTGCACAATATACACTCAAATATGTGAAATGTTATTCAGTTTCATTTTAACATAACTAGAATGATGGGTCTTTCTCTGTCCGTTTAACGGGAAAAGCTGGCCGAAAAGGAATCGTCGTCACTTGTGGAAATCGAACCCGAGTTATCCTAGAATTTTCCCTACAAAGAGAGCTCATTTGTCACTTGAGCTACCCTGTTGGGTTAACTACAATATTATTCTGATATAACTACAGTTTCACAGGGCAATATTCACTCAAATATGTGAAATTGTTATTCAATTTCATTTTGTATACACTACAGTTTCATTTCAACACAGTTACAATTTCATTTCAATTCAATTGCAATTTTCATTTAATAATATAAAAATAATACGTGATGTAATGTAAAAATCAATTGGTTATTAACACACCAAAAAATACGCGCTCCGTTAACCACTGTTTCTAAATACGCGCTCCGTTAACCACTGTTTCTTTAAGCGTTTCTTTACTTAAAAAGAAACGAAATCATTTTTGAACCACAGTCCACCAGTATAATTGCTGCTAACATACGATACAATCATTCTTAAATATTCTGTCTGGCCGAGTGGTGGGATCTTGGATTGAAAACTCAACTTTTTTGGGAGAAGATTACAATACATATTTAAAAGCTCAGGCGCATCACTCCCTCAATACATATATATACTTCCTAAACAGCACATGCTACAGTTTGTGTATATATATGTGCGTATAATTAAATGGCTGGATGGGTGCTCTTTAAAAATAAGACCGGCAACGACGTTCCTTTGGTTGATTGAGATATACTGTCCTTCCATTGAGTGGTTGCACTGGCCTTGCATTTTTCTCGTAACCCTAAACAACAAATTCAAAACATCAAATGTTTGTACCATTCAATGTATATATGTGTCACAGATTCGATCTAGCTAGATAGATAATTCAGTACTTACATCATCAACAGCTTCCTTTAATAACTTTATCTGGTCCTGTGATAAAGTCTTTGACTACAAAATCCAACAGTTTGTCATTGTGTGAGTGAGAGAATCCAAGGGTATATATTGAGTCAGTTTGTCATTGTGTGAGTGAGAGAATCCAAGGGTATGTATTGAGTAAATCCGACCTTATGACCCTAGTCGGTTAAGGAATTAACCCAGGTTGTCCATAGCTAGGTAAACCAGTCAACCCAAGTTGCACATAGCTAGGTAAATCAACTTGCCCAGGTTGCTCGTAGCTAGGTAAACCGGCCCTGCTCAGGTTGCCCGTAGCTAGGTAAACCGGCCAGCCCAAGTTGACTATAGCTAGGTAAACCGGCCCTGCTCAGGTTGCTCGTAGCTAGGTAAACCGGCCAACCCAAGTTGACTATAGCTAGGTAAACCAACCAACCCAGGTTAACTATAGCTAGGTAAACAAACTAGCCCAGATTGCCCATAGCTAGGTAAAACAGCCAGCCCAGATTGCCCATAGCTAGGTAAGATTGCCCATAGCTAGGTAAACTAGCCTGTCCAAGTTGCCCATAACTAGGTAAACCAACCTGCCCAAGTTGCCCATAGCTAGGTAAACCAGCCTAGGTTGTCAATAGTTGATCGGTTCAAATCAAGAAGGTTGAGATTTAAACTCGTGACCTTGTGGTTACAAGTGTGTATCCTTAGCCATCTTGATTGGGTGTTAGGGTGGTTAAGGTTAAGATTCAGACCTTCTTGATTACTGTCCAGATGACACCCTGTGTGCATGGTGGGGTTGTGAGGGAACCAATGAATCTGTAATATTTCTTGCCCTCATATCCGATCTTTCTTGGATTAAGGACACCTAAATCTGCACCATTGCGACCAACTTGCTTGATGCTGCTGTTCAGAAACTGGAGTGGAACCAAGAAATTAATTAATGTATATGTATATAAGATGAATTGAATTGTGGGTACTTACTTGTCCAAGGAAACTATCAGGTTCTCCAATTTTGAATAAGAGGGAGACAGCAGCAAATTCATCTTTTGTACTCTTATGAACCAGATGCATCTCCATATCATACTTTTTGCCGTTCACAGTGTTCTCAGAGGGAGTATGGCAGTGACAATTTTGAATGAAGTAGTCGGTACCGTTAATGATGATCTTTCCGGCCTTATCACTTGTCCACTGGATCTGCATGCATGCATGCAAGTATGCAACAATTTATATAATTGACCCGAGATTATGTAGATCAACTAAATCTGCATAAATTAGAAGCATAAAATAGTAAAAGGGGTGGGTTGTAATAATATTGGGTGGATTAATTTAAGACTATTAGCCAAGACAATGGTCATTTATACCAAGAGAAGCTCAATAGACTTCCTAAAAATGCACGCAGTGCAATTATTATTCTGTGGATCATAGTTCACACAAGTTGTGTGGATCATATTTTGTATACGGTAAAATAATGTATATTCAATACAAAATTAATGTACATTCAGTACAAAAATAATGTACATTGTATTCAGGGAATGTACATTATTTGTGTACTGAGTGTACATTATATTATATAATATACATTCAGTACAAAAATAATGTACATTTATTATATTAAAAATATACTTTTTATTATGATCCACATAATATTGTGTGGACCATGATTTGTGGGCTGTGAGAACAGGTCAAAGTCACCAAGACAATAGTCATTTATATATACCCATGAAAGCTCAATTCATAAACTTTTTAAAATAATGGTGGACCGCGAGACAAAGTCAAAGCCCACACAATGAGTTGTGTGAACAAACCAAAGCCCACACAATGGGCTGTGAGAACAAACCAAAGGCCACATGGTGGGCCACGAGAATGGGCCAAAGCCCACCATTCCAAATCCAAAAGTGGGCTCCAAGATGAGAATGACTAGCCATTCGGGACAGGTCAAAGCCCACGTGGTAGGTCACGAGAACTAACCAAAGCCCACTTGGTGGGCTACGAAAACAAACCAAAGTCCATTTGGTGGACCGTGAGAACGTGCCAAAGCCCACTTGGTGGACCGTTGGAACGGGCCAGCCCACTTGGTGGACCCAAAGGTGGGCTCCGAGATGAGAATGACTAGTCATCCGGGGCCGGCTTGAGCCCTAGGTCACCTATCCAAGTCCGAATCATCTATCTTGGTCTAAGTCATTTTCTTGGGCCCAGATTCCAAACTATTGGACCTCAAATTTCCACTCTTGAACAGTTCTAAATCCAACAAAATAAAAACCACTACTTGAACTAATTAATTACCTGAAGAGAATTGCCATTGTTTATGATTCTAGCCTCAAACGGTTCGTAACGCTGAATCAACTCCCCAAATTTGGAGGTAACATTAACAGTTGAGTCATCAATATTAATGGGAGACTGCATTTGACCAGCATTGCAGAGTGTATAATTTGTGTTAAGTTTTCCCCATTTCTCTGGGCCATTCTCAGCTCCCCTAATATAGCTAAATTTGGTTTCCTCACTCTCACGGGCTACGGAGATGGTTTGTGATGAGAGGAAAAGGATTGAGATGATGAGGATGATGAGTGGATTATTGCCCATTATTTGAGGCCTTCAAAACTTGACTTCAATATTGTTTTGAAGGATGGATAAAATTTATTATTTATTATTATTTAATTTACTATTTCTTATCACTCGCTTTTGTCATGTATATATAGGAAGGATTTGTGTGGTTTCGATGGTACATAGGGATTTATGTGGTCTCTGTTGTATTGATCTATATTTTAATAATGAGTCTTTATTGGTTGAAATATTTTAAAATTTATTTAGAATTTTAATTTTAATAAATTATTATTTTTTCCTAAATTCTTTTTAATTTAAATTTACTTCAGTTTTTTTAAAAAATAAAAATTAATGTATAAGAACTATATAATTAAAAAAGTTCTAAATGAGATGTTTTTCATATTGATTTTTTTTTTTACTTTTTAATTAACAGGTTCATTTTTTATGTAATTGTAGCTTAATTAAAAGAATTGAATAATAAAACGAAACATTTACAAAGAATTATTTCTGTATTGTATCAGTTCTATGCTGTATAACTCTCATATATAATAGATAGATGTTGGGTGTGCTATAGCAAAGATGAGATGAGGGTATGAGCCATTTTTAATATTTTTTTTTTTATTTTAAGAAATATAATCATAGGAATTGAAGATGGAGGTGAATCCAGAGCCCTATTTGTGGCCTATGGTTTCATCCTCCTCACCGGTAAAGGTGTCTTCAAAGCAGCATGCAGCAAATGGACCACTCCAATGCATACAACATCCCAACATTGCAGAAGCGTTGGCGGTTCGGGAAGCCCTTTCGTGGACCAGAGACGTGGTCTAACTTGAATTTGATTGTTTAATTTTTTGTTTTAAATTTTCGAGTAAGTCATCAAACCGTTCATATATTGATGCGATTGCACACGCATATAAACTTTTTGTTAAATTAGCTCTTTTAGTAGTTGTAATTTGTGAGGTTTTCTTCATTCGTAGAGATAGAAACCAGGCTGCTCACTCACTAGCCAAAGCCAATGAGACTTGGCCGGTTGTCCTACTTTGAGTGGCTTGATATGATATACTTTCGGCTTGTCCGAACAGTTTCATATCTTAATATATTCGTTTTGGTTGCTTTAAAAAAAAATTGAAAAAAATATACGAATTAAACATCTACAAAGAATTATTTCTGTATTGCATAAATTCGATCTATGCCCTATAACCCTGATAATAGATGTTGGGAGTGTAGTTACAACAAGGATGAGATGAGGGTGTGGACCATTTTTTTTTTTTTTTTTTTAATTTACATGTTCATTTTTAAAGATAATCATAGGTCAATTAGAAAAAATTGAGAAAAATATTAATTAATATATGTGCCATTTGAAATATATGAGTTAATACGAAATGATCCCTAGCTTGATTATAATTTTGACTATTTTTTTGATCAATTAAGTCCATCAACTTTAAAAATCTTAACCAATTTAGTCATCCGTTAATTTTATCGTTGGACATCCGTTAACTCAGGACCAAATTGGTAATTTTGCTATAGTCAAGGGACCATTTTGGTGTACAACTTTAGAATTTTTCAATTTTGGTGCTTAACTTTGTTATTTTTATCAGTTTTGGTCCTTTCAACTAAATTGACAGCAAAATATTGTTGGATTTTGTATTTTTAGGGGTAAAATCGTGATCTCAAGAAAACGTTTTCAATATCTAAACAAAACCACTGTAAAATCATATCTATATGTGTTTGATCGATGAGAATAATGGAAAGGACGGGCAAAAACTAGCCATAAATATATGAGATTTATAACGTCGACGATTGGCAAACTCTTCTTTTTCTCTTAATATGATTTTTTGCTTAGATATTGAAGATATTTCCTTGAGATGACGATTTTGTCCCTAAAATATAAAATCCAACAATATTTCACCGTCAATTTAGCTGGAAGGACCAAAACTGATAAAATAAAAAAGTTAGGCACCAAAATTGAAAAAAATAAATGTTGTGCACCAAAAGTGATAAGACCTCCAAAATCGTGGGACCAAAAGTGAAATTAATTCAAAAGTACCTTGATCTAGTGAAATTATCAATTTGGTCCCGAGTTAACAGAACCCTAACGGCAAAACAAATGAAGGACCAAATTGGTTAATATTTTTAAAGTTGAAGGACTTAATTGGTCAAAAAAATAGTCATGGACTAAATTGGTAATTTCACTATAGTCAATGAACCATTTCAGTAATTAACTCGAAATATCTTATTCAGAACTTTTAATGATTTATATTTCTTATGTTAATTTTATTTGTACAAAATGGAAAGGAAAAAACTTTGAAGTTTAAAAAAATTAGGATGGAACTGTTGTAACCTATTAGGTCAAGCATAACTAATCAAAGGAATTGGAGAGAGAGAAAGAAAATAAGAGACAAAGCAAGAGTATAATTCTTTATTCAACTTCTTCATTCAATACAAGGGGTACATCTCCATATATATAGTGAAATGTTACAAATCTACATAATGAGCTATAATGCGTTCGTTACAGACCTTACAAATATTGTCCATTAAATGCATTTTATAACACTCCCCCTTGGACATTATTTGTCCACAATCTTGCTTTGATAAGAGCTTGCTAGGAAAACCCTGTGGAAAAACCTAGACAAAAAGAGTATATATTATTCAAGCCTCATTTAAAACTTCCACAGGAAAACCACGTGGGAAAAACCTAGTTGAAGAAAAGAGTACATGATGTATGTAAAAAACATATATTGTATTGGTCGCCTCATTAAAAACCTTAACTTAAGAAAATCCTGTGGGAAAAACTTAGTTAAGGGAAAAAGAGTACAACCATAAGCCTTCGAGGCACAATCGGCATAATCTTCAGAATTTTGGGGTTTCTCTACTTAAGCAATTATTTTGCAACTTTTCCCCATTTACATTACTATATCATACTCATGCCTCATTAAAAACCTCACTAGAAAACCCAGTGGGAAAAAACTAGTTGAGGAAAATAGTACATGATGTATGTGTATTCTTGTTTTAAATTAGGTGCCTCATCAAAAACCTTAGATTTAAGTAAAAACCCCGTGGGGAAAAATTTAACTAAGGAAAAAGAGTACATCTGTTAGTCGTCAAGACCCAATCTTCAGGATTGATTCATGTAAAATGATACCCCCCCTTAAGATAACAATCTTTAAATTCATACATTAAATTTCTAAAATGTATAGAAGAATTTTGTAAATAAATATGTACAACTGTCAATGGAATGAATATACTCTATAATAATCTCGTGACTCTTCTAGAGCTCACGTGGGTATAATATTGACATCATAATGTCTAGTCAAAATGATTTCATTATATATCATTTTATCATTTATGCAACACAATCTTTATTGCCCCTTTATAGGACAATGATGGTAAAAATAGTACAACCAATTTTAGAACTTGGCATTATGGGGATACAAAAATAATAGTCAGTACCCAAGTAGCCCATTATATATTGGCTTACTGGTGTATATAAAAAAAAACTTCAAGGAAAAATTCGATCTCCAAGTCGAGATAATACTTAGCTTTCCCAAGCTTTTGTTTCAAAATCTCCGTCTTTAGACATGAACTGATATAATCAAGCTCTTTAGATATTTCATTGATACTTATACCATCAATATTGACTAAGATAATAAATAAGTCCATTTATCAACCCATTATTGAGCACATAATGGTACATATTATTCCTTCTACATGAGGATAACAACCCCATTCACAACTCTTTAAAGAGTAAATAATGGCACATAATAATACTAAATAAATCCTCATTTCGAGAATTATAAATCCATTCGGGATTTCTCAAAATAAATTTAACTACATATCTAAATTTATTATTTTGCCAATTGTATTATGTAGCGAAATTTAATGCCATTTACCGTGGGAGAGTATATTTGATTAAAATCAATTAAGGGTCTCTGCGTGAACCCATAGGCTACAAACTTGCTTCATATCTTATCACCTCGTTATTCTTATTTCTCTTTCATGCACACACCCATTTGTAACCTTCAGGGTTAACACTCAACGGTGTAATGTTATAAAGAGAATTTATTCATTTTAGCGAGTCGAGCTATGCCTTAATTGCTCCTTTATATGTTAAATAGTCATGATACTTCCGGTGCCTAACTCTGGATCCAAATTATCATATAACGAGCAATTTGTAATGACAATTGTGTTGTCGACAACTCTAACCTTTTTATAAATGTCTCCCATATTTGTAAAAGTTAATGGCAATTTTCTAAAACAACCAGATTCTAGACATTTTCCAAAGATATTTTGATCTGGTCGTTCTGTATCCCTAGTATTACGTTTATTTGGTGCACCTATAAATTTTACTAGGGTTTTTCGTCATCTGGACGAATGTCTGTAGGACATAATTATTCAAGCTATTTCAAGAGTGACAATGTTTCTTTACTAGATCTAGTATTATGATTCATATCTTTTTAATCAATAGATCTCCTACACTTCTAGTGTCAAGGAGTATCAGTATATATATTTGGTCCAAGTTTGGGGAATGTATATGGAACCTAGTTACTCTTTTTATGATCAGTATGATCAATAGATATATTTGATAGATTATTTGCTAAAAAATCAAATTGATATCTTTTGAAATTTTGGTTCAATCTAACTAGTACGTAGATTTGAAATACTGAAGATGAAGATATTTTCATTCCATGAAAAGTCTCGGCATTCTATTAAATTTGAGCTCATATCTCTCCCTAATGCCGTGAACCGATCTTCATAAAGTATGCAGTCAGCGTACCTAATTATATGCATTGATCCCCTATCATGGGCTCTTAGTATTTAAACAACAGTAACGCAGATAGGAAAATGTTTATGTTGAAACCACGTACTAGGTGAAAAGATGGTATAATTGCGATATGCTGTGAGTTAGACTTGGGTAAAAAAAACTTGACACATAGTAACGTCATAGCAATCCTTCGGAGATTGATGGGATAGGTAGACCATATTTTGGTCAAGAATTCATTGTCAAGGTTCATCCTAAAGGGTGACTTAGAGAATTAAAGTCTTAAATCTACCTTCTGGGCAAATGAATATACAAAAACAATATGAGAGCT